AAATAAAGGATCCTTCAAAAAATTCAAAAAAATAAAAAGATTTTAGAAATATTTAAACCAATATAGGATCAGGACCATCCTACACCTCTTAAGGTGTATGTTAATCCTGTAGTAGAAGAAATCTATCAAAGTATTAATAGATATACTATCCAGACCAATAACTTTGAATTGAAACTTATCATAATTCATATGATACAAATTTTTTAGTTTGGGGAACACTTGTTAAGGATTTCAACCTTCCTTTAACTAGCTTCTTAGAAATCTTTATAATATTTAAGTATAATGGTGTCAATGATGATGCTATTAGACTTTGATTATTCCAATTTTCTCTAAGCTACAAAGCTAAGATATGATTGAATTCTTTGGCCCCTAACTCTATAACCATTTGGACTGAGTTGGCACATAAATTTCTAGCTCAGTATTTCCCATTTTCAAAAACCATCAATTTTAGGAATGATATTACATCTTAATTATTTTAAAAATTATTTTAAAAATATTTAAATGATATAATAATTTTACAATAATGTAAATTTATTACTAATAAATAAATAAATTTCATACACAAATAATATATTATACAAATTTTAAATTTTAAAATATCGATCGTTTAATTTAATTCACATTTAACATAAAATTATATATATATATATATATATATTTAATTAATTTAGGATCCATGCCCTTATAACTCCCTTTTTTATAGCATATACAGATAGCATTTAATTTCAGAAGAAATCCGACAAATCAGAAATCAGATAAAAATCGGGCAGCACAACGGCAGATACGGAATTTACACAATTTTTCCTGAAAATCACAAAATACCAAATTTGCACATAATATAGATAACAACATTTCAGAACATTTATTCTATCTGCACAGACAATTTTCGACTACAACAGAAAAATCCAGTCGAAATAAAACCCGTCGAATCAAAAATACCCGGACAAAAATCTTCAGAAAATAAACCAAAATGTGCACACTCGGCACGTCAACAATATACAGAAATTACGCAGTAAAAACTGAACCAATCGAAAGATACGGACGAAAATCACTAACGGAAACGAAATCTGGACAGAAAACACCGCCAAACACGACGGTTTCTGAAATTGAGAAAGGCGGAATGTACCTTACCTTGCGTACATCAAAATTCCTGAACAATCTCTTCGGACGAAAACGGCTTCAATCGTCCGCAAAACCACTTTTCCACAAATGCCCTCGACTTCTCTCTCCTCAAAATCAGATATTTTTATTTTTTTTTATTTCTCTCTCTCTTCAAAACGACTGATTTCAACTTTATAATACACAGATCGGCCCGTCTGATCGCCAGATCGTCCCGGGACGATCAGACCAATTTCGATCGTCCTGGACGGTTCCCAGAACTAGTTTCAGCCGATATTTTGAACAGTGCCAATCGTCCTGGCCGAAGCCTCGATCGGCCTGGACGATGCTTACAGAAAATCACCTGGAGCAAATCTGGGCAAATTCTGGAGCAAATTCTCAACTGATCGTCCCAGGACGATCCCAGATCGTCCTGGACGATCCTGGAGCAGATTTTGATATTACATCTTCGGCCAAAGGTCCCTTAATGAAGAGAGCACGAGCTTATTTATATATTTTTTCGAGTGACGTGCTCTATAAATCGAGAAGATCCAATGTAAATTGAGTGCTCCATTAGACAATTCATATTGATTCCCTCGATCATAGAGCATTCATTCAGTATTTATTTGCCTTAATAATGTTGGAATTCAATGTTTTTTAGGTTGGTTGAATTTGTCTTTGTCGAGCCGTTCGATTCTACTTAAGCATGTTATATTTGGATATCATTTTATTATTCAATTTATGTTTTGAATATTCCTATTTTGACCCATTTGGGTTCGGATTAGACTGATTTTTGTCTCTTTAAGTTCATATATTCTAGACGTTTCGTTTGACTATAAGTTTACTAAAAATTGGAGTTTTGGATGGCCATGAACTTAATTTTAGAAGTTGTCAACTCATATATGCTTTCAGATTCAAGTTTGACCAAGGAGATTTTTTGTAACGTATCAATTAGGTACTCTTTAATTTATTATAACCTCCTTTAATTAGTTAGAATAATAAATGTTTGATAATCATATTTTAATTAAGAAAACACCAAAAACATTTTTTTTAATTTTATTATTAAATAGTTAGGAGACAAAGATATTATTTATTCCACCAATAATAACTATTAAAATTATATTCCAAAAAGAGCTTCCTAGCGGTATGGATTAGCTGAAAAAGAAATACAGATTAAAGTGAAATAATATAATGTAAAAGGAATGGAATTTTAGTTAAAATATTCTAGAGTTCATTATATGAGTGTAAAATTAACACACAAATAATTATTTGTTATATTTGATTTTAAAGTAAATAAATGCATTGTAAAGCCAAATACGATGGCTAGCAATGTTAGGCTTCTAGCAAAAGATGATGTTGGGGCCAAATAGCAATGATGATGAGTAAGTGATTGGGTTGAGGCGATAAACAATGACATAGGCAAGCAACGAACATCTATTATCAACAATCACGATGGTGGCCAACGACTAATGATGAGTAGTGGTGACCAAGGTTTTACAAACAAAATCGGGTCACCGGTCGGTCCGATAAATTTCCAAAATCGGTTTCAACGTCGAATTGGGCTGAACCAAGCTGAATGGGCGGTCCAACTAGTTAACTTATGAATTGGTGCCGATTTTCAAAATTTGGCAAGTTTTTTAATTAATTTTTTTATATAATTAAATAAATTTATTTAATAAAGTTAATATAGAATATTTAAATTAATGAATTATTTTATTTTTAAATCATCATTAAACATTTATGATAATTATTCATCAAATAAGCATCAATCAAGCTTTATCACATGGCCCTACCATCCCCTATGATTGATTTTCTAATGAGAACCAAAACAACTATATAAATAATATTTACATATAGTGCCCAAGTGATGATAATTATTCATCAAATAAGCATCAATCAAACTTTATCACTGACCACCATCCCACTGTAATTTTATTTATCTCACGTGAACCAAAAAAAGTTATATAAATAATATTAACATATAATGCCCAAGTGATGTAGGACTAAGTAACTAAGTTAAAGCTTTCGAATTCAAAACACATAAATTACATATTTTAACATCTATTTTTAACTAATTAATTTATAATGTGAATAATTAATTATATTATATATATATATATATATATATATATTATAATATAATAAATATTATTCACATTTAAATACAA